GTATACAAAAATAAATTAAATGAATACAAAAAATCTATAACAGGTGACATATAGCAACTATCCTGTGTAAATTTAGATTCTGGAATCGAGCATAATGAAGATATTGCTCAATATGATCGAACAGACTTCTGTATTTATTATCAGAATGTTAGAGGATTAAAAACCAAATTGCACACTTTATTCAATGCGTCCTATACTTGTCCTTATGATCTAATTGCTTTGACTGAGACTTGGATTGATGATAGCATCCATAATAGCGAGTTTATGAGTAGCGAATTTATTGTTTTCAGATCAGATAGGAAATATGTACAAACTGGCCAGACTAAGGGAGGTGGAGTTTTATTAGCGATACATAAAAAATATAAAGGAGTTGCAATTGATTTTCAATGTTCAGTCTCGGAAATTGATGTTGTTGGGATTAGAATTGAACTCATTCGCTGTACGGTTTACCTCCTCCTTGTTTATATTCCTCCAAATCTTACTGTGGAGACTTATGAAACTTTTTTTGAAGACATCCTTACATTAGATTGTTTCAAGCTTAATGATACTATTCTTTTTCTGGGGGATTTCAATATCCCTACATATATAAATTACCTCATTGATAGTACTTACTATAACAATTACATTTCGGTTGTCAAAAATATGAGCCACTTCTTCAATTTAGTTCAATACAATCATATACGTAATGCATATGATCGCATCCTGGACTTAGTGTATTGTAATAATTTTGCGCAGGTGAGTGCTGCATCCGATATTTTACTGCCTATCGATGCCTATCATCCTCCTCTAGAAGTACGTGTGTCTTTTCCCAGTCGCATGAGAAATTTCCATACAAACAGTATTCCGCAGTATAATTTTAAAAAAGCAAACATCCCGGCTCTTTATAATAGCATTATGAATTTAGATTTAACTCTCCCGTCACATATTACGGATATTAATATTGCCTGCGATCTTTTTTATAAACGATTGTATGTTGCATTTGATAGATATGTTCCTTACACATTGCCGAAAGATAACAAATATCCTCCATGGTTTTCTCGCTCTATTATCTCAAAAATCGGAAAAAAGCATCGTCTCTGGAAACGATACAAGCGAACAAGTAATTTGTCAGATTATGAATTATTTAGCAGTTTACGAAGAACAATAAAAATCGATATTGACATGGCTTATTCAAATTTTGTTGAAAGAACCGAGCGCGCTTTGGCTCACAACCCTAATAACTTTTGGTCCTTCGTAAATCATCGCAAAAATTTCGCCAATATTCCTAGCAACATGTTTTCTGAAAATACTGAGTTGAAAAATCCTGAGCAAATAGTGAACGCCTTTGCAGCATATTTCCAATCTACTTATATTTCCTCCTCGGAATATTTATCTGACTCTGCCTCAGTGAACGATAGTTCTTGCCTATCTATTATAACAGTTCATGAGAAGCATGTACGAAATGCTCTGAATAAGTTGAAACCTAAATGCTCCACAGGTCCAGATTCCATACCATCTTTCTTTCTTAAGGATTGTGCTTCGGTACTTGCTCAGCCCTTAGCATGCCTTTTTAATTTGTCTTTAAAAACTGCAACCTTTCCTGACAAATGGAAAATGTCGAAAATTACTCCAGTTTTTAAGAAAGGCGATAGGTCACATATTGAGAACTATAGAGCGATTGTTATCTTGAGCAATTTGGCGAAAGTTTTTGAGTTTGTACTTTTTGAGGTCGTGTTTTCTCATGTAAGTCGTACCATCTGTACTGGTCAACATGGTTTTTATAAAGGTAGATCAACATGTAGTAATTTAGCATGTTTCAAGCAATACGCTGCTGAGGTTTTGGACAAAGGAGGGCAGGTTGATGTAGTCTATACCGATTTTTCAAAAGCTTTCGACCGTTTAGATCACGGTATTTTGATACAGAAGTTGTCAAAAATTGGTTTAACGTCTAGATTTCTTGATTTTTTCCAGTCATACATTAATAACAGACATTTACGTGTAGATTATCGTGGTTACAAATCATATCCGGTGTTGGCTACGTCAGGCGTACCCCAGGGTTCAGTCCTTGGCCCTTTGTTATTTCTTATATTCATTAACGACATAGTAAGTGACTTGCGGTGTGAGTATTTGCTGTATGCTGACGACCTCAAGATTTTTAGATGTGTTAATACCTTAGATGATAGTTTAGCATTGCAAGCAGATCTGAACCTTGTACATCAGTGGTGTGAAGTTAATAATATGCATTTGAATGTTGATAAATGTTGCACTATGACGCTAACACGCAAGTTGGAACCGATAGAATCTGTCTTTGAGATTGGAAACAGCTCGCTCCTGAGAGTTTTTTCGTTCAAAGATTTAGGTGTTTTGTTTGACCCCAGAATGACATTTATCGAGCAGATAAATACTATTGTAGCAAAAGCGTACAAAAATCTTGGTTTTGTTATCAGAAACAGCAGACAATTTCATAATCCTAAAACTTTAATCTTACTATATTATGCTTTTGTTAGATCTATTCTCGAATATTGTTCTATTATTTGGTACCCGGCTTACGATGTACATTCCCATAATCTTGAGAGAGTTCAGCGACGTTTCGTGAAGTATTTGTGGTATAAAGAAGATAGAGTTTATCCTGAAAGGGGCTTTCGTAATGACATATTATTAAGCAGATTCAATCTGCCAAATTTAACGAAGCGCAGACATTTATTCGCTGCTACCTTTTTGTGTAAATTGCTCGATGGCAGCATTGATTGTCCTTCACTCTTAGAGAAAATTTATTTACACATACCTAATTTGCGTACCCGTCATGGTAGCAACAGTTTATTCTATTTACCTGTTCCTAGAACAAACTTATTGTTGTTTTCACCACTCTATGTTATGTGTGGCATTTGTGAAAGTGCACGTGCACTTGATATCTTTCACTACAGTAAAGACAGCCTTCGAAGGTATTTTCTAACTGTCGGCTGAGCATGCTGTACTTCCTGCCTGTTCAATGGAGTGTTCCGTTCAGGCAGTGTATTGAATCTAAATAAATAAATAAATAAATAAATAAATAATAAAGTCCCACTATACGGCCCCTATCAAACTCACTAAGTTGACGAAATCGTACAGGTCTCCGTACTCTAGGCATCGTAACCGATCGTAAAGGATGTCAAGAACCAAAATCCGCCAACGTTGATTCTTTACTGCGGCTGAAATATTCATTTTTAGAGCGTTAGTAAATTAAAAAAAAGCAGTATAAAAACCGGAATGTCCAACTGATAAGGCTGAAAATTTTTTCACTTGTTATTTACAGTAAGATAAATACATTCACCAACTTTTATTAAAATAAAACCATTTAAACTGGGTGTTCGGATTTATATGTCACTTAGTATAGATGGATAATATCATTAATGTTGCATCTGTTGTTCTCATTACATTATGTAACATCCTGTATAGCTAAATACTGGAATAACTTCTCATAATAGATTTTCGCTTTTCTTCACAATAAAGCTACCTCGACTAGGCTTACAAGGAATTGGAGTCACATCTCGTTAACTTTCCATTATTGACTTTAAGAGATTAAATTTAATGGAAAATGGAAAGTTTTGTGCTGAAAGTAGAGGTCGCGTAGCTCTCGGAACTCGTAATCCTCGAAAATGTACAAAGGGCCGATTTCATAAAGATCCCCAGTTTGGGAAGATATTTAAACAATTAGAAATATCAAAGGCTTAGCGGTTTGTTGAGCACCCAAAAGCAAACGCATTAATCTTAAATATTCTGATCCTTGGCACATATTTTGGCAATATAGAAGAGCTTTTGGAGAAGTAACTTCTGATCAACATGACGCTTAAAGAGCGCATTAGACATAAAAATGTTGATCATATGACATCGAAGACAGCTGCTATAATAGTTGAACATAACCTCAACTAACTTGTCATAAGCAGAGGATACGACACCCGCACTCACAGATTATTTATTAGTTAGTCCTCGTGAGGCTGAAATTGCGATAGATCCACAAAATAAACGTGAGATTGCTCGTAATACGCTCAATTTTAAATTTTAAATGAATTGAAAAATAAATGTCATCAGGTTCAACCACTATGAGTTAAAACAACAAACATTTGTGTTTTAATACATATTATAATAACTACTATGTGTTAAAACAACAAACATTTGTGTTTTAATACATATTATTCGTGCTAACTGTTACTAGCTTGGCAGCACTATAAATGTATCGACTGTCAAGAGTAGAGGGAAAACGAATACTAGAGATGGGGCTGGGAGGATACGTTCTCAAACGTTTCCAAAAGTTAATTAAGGCGATTAATTCATTATTCAGTTCACTACGAAAGCACCAAACCGACAAACCATCCACGATACGCGCCCGATACGACCCCCGTTTCTCTCTCCCACAGGATGATCGCAGCGCCATCTACACCGTCGTCGTCGTCGTCCCGACGCTGTAGGAAATGAACCAGTCACGTGACCGTGACGTCACCAGTCATAGTAGCAGGTCACCGATTGGCGGTCGCCTGCACCGCCAATGCTGTCGTTGGTGATGCTGCCAGACATGAACCGCAGCGAGCAGGAGCACCTATACAGGACGTCCAGGAAGCTCAGCTTGGTACCACCGCCTACGGGAGGGCTGTTGGATAATGCTCGCCGGCTCTCAGGTACACCCCAATTATTCTCCTGAAGACCCTTGTCGCAAGAACACGTTGCCTTGTTATCGGAAATCGTCTCCAAGAAGAACGTAATCTTCGAAATTTGAGGTCCTCTCATTGCCTTAAGAGACCAATCCTCACAATGAGAGGACCTCGAAAACGACTATGCATTTGAACCTTAGTCAAATAAGATACCTAACAGTCAGCATCTGGCTTGCAATATCCAGCCAGAGCCATCATCGTGGACAGCGATGAAGAGCAGCTATCCCATCGCCGGCCGCAGTACCAGCGTCGACATTCGTGGTCGCGAGATGGCGCCACCGCACCCGGCGATTCGCCGTCGCCAAACGCGCACGCGCAAGAGGACTTGGTGCTCAGCGTACTCAAATCGCCGTTCAACCATACCGGTGGGGGAGTGGCCGGTATCAGGGAGTCCAGCTGCGCGGGGAGACCGCGTGATGCAGATGATCATGAGGAAGACAGGTAGGTCATGTACAGGGTGCACCATAATAACGTCAATGTTCCGTATGCGTTAGGTTCAAAAATGATTTTTTTATTCAAACGCGTACCCTTGAACAATTTTAAATAAATTGTATATACCTAGATCCGGGTACATCATCTTGCGACCCAGTGCAAGAACATTCATCTTCAGATTCCGAGACAGATTTACTAGAAACTTTGGCCCATTCCGACTCAGAGATCACAGTCTGATACTAATCAAACTCAAATGAGGAAAAGTTCTATAACCCCAACATTCGTGGCAGCATTAGATATTTGTCAGTTAAGTAAAACGCTGTCTTTATTATTGAAGCTACCATTGAAGCACTTGACGAGTTTCCTATAAGGAAGTCCTCCATTCAAAGAATTCGTACCGAAAAGCGAAAGGGGCGCGCAGAAGCTATACAGCTTGATTTTATTATTTTTTTTTGAGTTGTTAGACAAATTTAGAGGATATGCGTATCCCAATCCGAACAAAAATAAGTTTGTTAGGCAATTTTTGTGTTTTTCAAGGTTCAAAGCGACGACGGGAAGCGAGGACGAAGAGTACTCTGAGCGTCTCCCGTTCCTGCACCAGTTTCGAATGCAAAAGCCCGCCCAAATTCACCATTTCGAAGCGCACCATCGAAGAGTGCCCACGCCCATCAAAAGGTCGCGCAAGAAAGAGAAGAAGGAAAAGCTGGTAAGGTATTCAATTTTGCAAAACAAAGCTGATGATAAAAACTTTAGTCATTGGTAGGAAGTCTTTCCATATCCACACCTCTGCGATAAATCTGTAAAAATAAACCAAACACTCCTTATTTGATTTTATTTGAAGTACCGCCCCGTCCTATTATAACGAAAACGTTTTTACTGTTTAAAGCTATTTTTACTGATATACTAATTTATAACAGCACTTGCAATCCAGAACCTTCCAGCGCTCCGTCGAAGTTATCTAAATATTTATCGATGCTGCTCGATGTCGGCCGACGATGCCGCAAGCCCTGACGCCCTTGATGCACAGAGGCGTAACTCTGGTTGCCTAGCGTCGATGTTGCGAGGGCGTCTCATCGGTACCCCAAAGTTTTAGTTTAGGCGCTGCCATATGTTGCTCACAAATACTGTTTGGTAACTTCTTACTCCATTTGAGGCTCATTCGGATGTACTTACCTTGACGTTTCTACAAACTGCCTTTGTGCGAGATAAGTAAGCGTGTGCGGTGTTGGATGAAAACATCCAAGAAAAACACTCGCGAAGTGACATGAAGACACACATAAGCTCGATATTGCTGTTAGGATGTGTCTTTTTCTGTTTTAAATTCGATTCATAAACGTCGTATCTTTTGGCGTAACTCGTTGTTGAGGATTTGATATCGGAGATTTTTTACGGAACCTAATGATTCTGTTAAATCCTACCTCTTATTTTTATTTTTCATTTCCAGAAGGTGATGGACGCCGACGACGCGGACGACCCAGTGGACAACGTGATAGGTCCGCCGCTTGAGGAAACAACCCCTAGGGGAGTGCCCGACCCCTACTATCCCATCTACCTGCCTATCGACCAGGCCTTCAAGACCAAATACGTGTTCCACCACAAGAAGGGAAAGACGTGTCAGGAACGGACGTACGTCTTCCTAGAACACCCCGGCGGCTGGCTGTGCTTTATTTATCATTTTTCTGTGTAAGTATGGCGTTAGGGAAACATCCGGTGTTGCCAGGTTCCACGAGAATTGATCAGATCTGCTATTATTGCTATACATTTTTTTAAGGAAGGGCGTATGAACGCCTTCCTAGAACATCCCGGCGGCTGGAAGTGTTTTATTTTTCTGTGTAAGTATGGCCTTAGGTGAACATGCGGTGTTGCCAGGTATCATGAGAATTGATTAAATCTGCTACTATTGCTAAACATTTTTTAAGGAAAGACGTATGAACGCCTTCCTAGAATATATCGGTGGCTGGAAGTGTTTTATCATTTTTCTGTGTAAGTATTGCCTTAGGTGAAAATGCTGTGTTGCCAGGTATTATGAGAACTGATTAAATCTGCTACTATTGCTGTACCTTCTCTAAGGAAAGGCGTATGAACGCCTTCCTAGAACATCTCGGCGGCTGGGTATGCTTTATCATTTTTCTGTGTAAGTATGGCTTTTGGTGAACATGCGGTGTTGCCAGATATCATGAAAATTGGTTAATCTACTACTATTGCTGTATATTTTTTAAGAAGGAACATGTGTACGTCTGCCTAGAATATCCCGGCTTGCTATGCCGTATCATTTTTCTGTATAAGTGTCAGTAGCAGAATACGCGGTGTTGCCAGTTTCACGGAGTTTTTTTGAATCTCCTCCAGCTGTTACCATTTTTTTTTAATAAAGGGCCTTTGTTTTCCTAGAACATCACATCCCTTTTTTGTGTAAGTGTGGCTCTAGAAGAGCATGCGGTGTTGCCAGGTGAAACGAGTTATCCTTAGATCTGCTACCATTACTGTTGCTTTTTGAAATGCAGACCTACGTCATCCTAGTCACCCTGAGAGCTGGCAAGTTTTGATTTAGCGGACATGCGGTGTTGCCAGGTCTCGATATTTCATTGGACCTGCTACTGTTACTGTACATTCGTTCTTTTAGATTACCCGGAGGCGAACGCTGCCTTATTTATGGGTTTTCTGTGTAAGTATAGCTTCTGCAAAAAGGGTGTATTGCAACATTCAAGAATTCCAGTGAATCTGATGATATTTCAAGAAGGGATGTACGTCTTTTTAGAACACTCCAACATTTTGTCTGTAAGTATGGTTTTAGAGCAGAGGACAGGGTTGCCAAGTTTGATGAGGTTTCGGTATATCTGATAATTTTTTAATAAGTACCTGTACCATCAAAATAAAAAAATACGTTTTTTTCTAGACTCGCGAAACTTGATGAAGGTAATTTTTCTCCGACTTTGCCTCTTATCCACAGATTTATTACTACCTTACACCAATGTTAATGATTCTTGAGACAAATTGTACAGACTTGTGATAACGCTTGACTCATAGGAATGAGACAATGCTAAATCCATTATTCTAGCCCGTTTTGCATTTTAAAGTCGGCCGCTTTATTGATGGCGAAATGCAAAGCATGTCCGACGTTATCACGAAACACGAATATTAAGAGTTCAAGGTCGGACTGCAGCTTATCTGAGAAATGAGTCAATTTGCATAATAATTAGCGCAAATCCTATATATTTGCCGAATCTTGGGCCTTCCTTATTCTCCTCGTGCTTCGCGCTGGTCACGAAACCTTACTAGACCAGTCAAATTGGATAATATATGTACGGACCCAAAGCTTTTGGTTCGGACTGGATTTCTGTCACTGTACCGAAGCGATGTGCAGCGGAGCTTGCTCTTATTCTTTCGGGTCTCTACCAGATATCTTGCGATACCGGCAGTTTTTTTTTAGAAATTTGTGAATTTGCTCATGTCTAGCTCGTCCCAAAAACAGAATCTTGCAACTACAGACCTATAGCTCTGCTTTCTATTGTAAGTAAGGTAAGAGGTGCATAAATCGGGAGCTTCTGGAGCACCTAGAATATCAGTAAGCTACTACAAATAAAGTTAGGAAACCATTAATGCTATTTTGTGAAGATTCATCTGTCTTCAAAGCTTTCTAGGCGGCATTTTGTTGTTTACCTAAATATACTAAGTGACATATAAATCCGAACACTCAGTTTATATGGTTTTATTTTAATAAAATTTTGTATAAGTACTTAGTGAAGCATAATAAGTAAATGATAAAAATGTCAAAATGATTGCACTGTTTTAAAGCCCTTTGACCTTTAATAATGTGTGGATGCACCCTGATGTGCTACGCATTCTCCAACGCGCCTAGGCATGCTTCTGATCAGGTGGTCAATGTCCTCCTGTGGTATCTCATTCCAGGCAACCACCAACTCCTCTCGAAGTGCTTCTAGAGTCTGAGGAGGACGTTGCAAATTGAGCAATCTCCTACCCATCATATCCCACACGTGCTCAATTGGGGATAAGTCGGGAGATCTTGGTGGCCATGATAACAATGTGACATCATTATGTTGAAAGAAGTCTATTGTGACTCTTGCAACATGTGGTCGGGCATTATCTTGTTGGAAAGTTGGATCTGCCAGGGTGTCAAGATAGGGTAAAAGATGGGGTTCTAGAACTTCGTGGATATAACGCTGCGCGTTCATGTTACCTCTGATGAAGATTAAAGGTGACCTGGAACCATAAGCTATAGCACCCCAAACCATAACTCCAACAGTGTGATGAACATGTCTTTCAACAAAATACTGTGGATTCCTCCTTTCACCACGTCGCCTTCTAACCCTGGCACGACCATCGTGCATTCCTAAACAAAACCGAGACTCGTCACTAAAGAAAACACTGTTCCATTCCTGATCCCAGAGTGACCGTTGTCTGCACCACTCAAGGCGATTACATCGGTGTTCTCGAGTTAAAGGGAGGACCCAGTGTGGCCGGTATGAAAACAAGCCAAAACTTCTCATTCGTCGGTAAACACTTCGCATGCCAATAGGTCTTCCGTGTTCTGCAAACCATTCATTTGCAATGGACCTGGTAGTGGAGAAACGGTCGCTTAAGGCCAATAATCTTAGGCGGCGATCTTCACGGTCTGTTGTTCTACGGCGGCGTCCAGTGCCCCTTGCTCTTTGCGTACGGCCTTCTCGAAGCCATGCCTGACAACACCTTACCACAGTGTCTACACTTCTTTGCACTCTAACTGCAATTGCCCGAAAAGAAAGTCCAGCTTCCCGAAGTCCCACTATACGGCCCCTATCAAACTCACTGAGTTGACGAAATCGTACAGGTCTCCGCACTCTAGGCATCGTAACCGATCGTAAAGGATGTCAAGAACCAAAATCCGCCAACGTTGATTCTTTACTGCGGCTGAAATATTCATTTTTAGTGAATTAAAAAAAAGAAGTATAAAAACCGGAATGTCCAACTGATAAGGCTAAAAATATTTTCACTTCTTATTTACAGTAAGATAAATATATTCACCAACTTTTATTAAAATAAAACCATTTAAACTGGGTGTTCGGATTTATATGTCACTTAGTATACGTAAGTTTGTCGCCGTTTTAACAGTCAATTTCAACAAAACATATTTTATTACATTTTCTTACAATGGATTTTCCCCAAATTTTGAACTACTCCAAATTGAAACGTTGAATATTTAGGGTTATTCATGGATAACCATCTAAAATGGAATATACACGTTGAAAATCTAATGAGAAAATTAAGATATCTTATTCCAAAAATCAAATATTTCAAGCGAAAAATATTTACACAAGATATATGATAACCCTTGTTCAATCATTACTATCTTATGCAATTTTGGTATGGTGGAAGTTATGAATAATTATTATAAAAAAATTGAAATTTAGATTTTGAACAAAAAGAAATGTTATCACCACAGAAAATATTCACAGTGCATCTCATCTTTTCGACTGCTAAATTGTTACATTGTATCATCAAACACGGTTCAACGAAACCTCTGCACTATTTCCTAGACTAAATAAAACAATCAACCAAAGAGCACTTTACTTTCCATGCTCACAATTATAATGGGTGATCTTTTTGCTAGTATCTTTTTGGCAACACTGTTTTTGACAGACGACGCGTGAATCGTGTCTTGTGTCATTGTCAAACTTGTTCAGTTTGGTCTATAATTTAACCATGAATCGACTTACGAACGAACAACGCTTGCAAATTATTGAATTTTACTATCAAAATTCATGCTCGGTTAAGAGAGTGCATCGAGCACTGCTTCCAATTTATGGGCAATTCGGTCGGCCTACTGAGGAAGCTTGTGACTAAATTTCGAACCCAGTTTACATTATTGGACATTAAACCACCAACACGCAGACGTAGAGTGAGGACTGAAGAAAATATTGCGGCTGTATCCGCCAGTGTTAGTGATGACCGTGAAATGTCGATTCGCCGCCGTTCGCAGCAATTGGGCCTCTGTTTCTCCACCACGTGGAAAATTTTGCGACAGGATTTGGGTGTAAAACCTTATAAGATACAGCTGGTGCAAGAATTGAAGCCACACGACCTCCCACAATGTTTACAATTTGGTGAATGGGCGCTGGCAAAGATGGAGGAAGATCCACATTTTTATCGAAAAATTGTGTTCAGCGACGAAGCTCATTTCTGGTTGAATGGGTACGTTAACAAGCGAAATTGCCGCATCTGGAGTGAAGACCAGCCAGGAGCATTGCAAGAGCTACCAATGGATCCCGAAAAAATCACTGTTTGGTGTGGATTATGGGCCGGTGGCACATCAGGCCGTACTTCCTCAAAGACGACAATGGCCGGAACGTAACTGTGAATGGCGACCGCTACCGTGCGATGATAACAAACTTTTTTTTGCCCAAAATGGAAGAGCTGGACTTGGCTGACATGTGGTTTCAACAAGATGGTGCCATATGCCACACCGCACACGAAACAATGGCCCTATTGAGGGTGAACAGTTTATGTCACGTTTGGAGCCCGTCAATTGGCCGCCTAGATCGTGTGATTTAACGCCGTTGGACTATTTCTTGTGGGGCCATGTTAAGGCTAATGTCTACAGGGATAAGCCAGCAACGATTGACGCACTAGAAGCCAATATTGAAGCATTTATTCGTGAAATACCGGCCGATATGTTGGAGAGAGTGTGC